AACAACGCAACTGGTGGGCTTCTCAGGATCAAAGATCAAGGTGTTGGGCGTAATCACGTTGCGAGTGACCATATGGGAGGGGAGTATTACAAAGACCAAGCCAATGGAATTCCATGTGGCGGACTGTCCTTCCGCCTACAACGCCATTCTGGGAAGAGGATTTCTCTATGCTTTCGAAGCAGTGCCGTCCACCTGCCATCAGAGGCTGAAGTTCCCCGTTGGGAACGGAGTGGGATGCGTAAGGGGAAATTCTCAGCTAGCAAGGGAATGCTATCAAGCCACGATCAAACACTTGGGCGTAGACCTCGTGGACACACGAGGGAACGCTCCGAGACCTGAAGCATTGGAAGGGGACATAGAAGTCGACCTGAATGAAGATGAGCCACAAAAGAAAGTTTGTGTTTCGGCGCACCTCGCGTCCGAACAAGTAGAAGGCATGATTAAGTTGCTGCGAGAGTTCGCGGACCTTTTCGCATGAGGTCCAGAAGATATGCCGAGCATGCCACGAGAGCTTGCGGAACACCGTTTGGCGGTCAAGCCGAACACGCGTCCCGTCCAGCAAAAAAGGCGAAACGTTTCGATTGAGAAGCAGATGGCTTTGGATGAAGAAATAAAGAAGTTGTTGAAAGCTGGATTCATAAGGGAGGTGCGATATCCCACATGGTTGGCAAACCCGGTGTTCGTCAAGAAAAGCTCGGGCCTATGGAGGATGTGCATAGACTTCACATGCCTCAACAGTGCGTGTCCCAAAGATCCATACCCGCTCCCCAGGATTGACCAGCTCATCGACGCCACAGCCAACCATGCCATGCTCAGTTTTCTCGACATGTTCTCGGGATACCACCAGATTTTCCTCTCCGAGGAGGATCAAGAAAAGACGGCCTTCATGACACCGGCGGGAAATTACTGTTGGATGGTAATGCCATTCGGCCTAAAAACGCGGGAGAAACCCAAAGAATGGTTGATGCGGTTCTACGCAACCAACTAGGAAGGAATGCGGAGGCGTACGTCGACGATGTCCTCGTAAAGAGCAAGGAAGCAAGCACGCATCTGGAGGATTTGAGAGAAACATTCACCAACATGAGGCAGCACGGTTTGCGCCTCAATCCGTCCAAGTGCGTCTTCGGAGCGGATGCGGGCAAATTTCTAGGTTTCCTGATCACAAAGCGAGGAATCGAAGCGAATCTGAAGCAGATCAAAGCAATCCTCCAGCTCAAAGCGCCTAAAACGATCAAGGAGATCCAGGCATTCAACGGGAAAATGGCAGCCCTCAGCCGATTCATTCCCCGCTCCGCCAACAAGTGCTTGCCTTTCTTTCAAGTGCTGAAGAAATCCGCAACACGGTTCAAGTGGAGCGAGGAATGCAACGAAGCTTTTCTACGCCTCAAAGAGCAGTTATCAACGACGCCAGTGTTGAGTGCCCCGCTCCAGGGAGAGCGCCTTTTCTTGTACCTAGCTGTCTCTCACCAGGCGGTAAGTTCGGTGTTGGTAAGGCGCGCAGCGGAAGACGGGCGCGACCAACCCGTGTATTACATCATAAAAGCGTTGCTTCCAGTAGAGACGAGATACTTGGTGGTTGAGAAGGCCATCCTTGCGGTAGCAATGACCGCCCGAAAGCTGTGCCCTTATTTCCAAGGACACCCCATCACCGTCCTATCCAACCTGCCGTTGAAGAAAATACTCCATGGAATGGACGCATCCGGAAGGATGACCAAGTGGGTCGTCGAGCTTAGCGAGCACGACATATCCTACGCCCCTAGGCCAGCGATCAAGGCGCAAGTGCTCGCCGACTTCATCGTTGAGGGCTTTGCGCTTGAAGGGGAAACTTGCTCGTCGCAGGAGGCGTGGAAACTATCGGTCGATGGGGCGGCGGGAAAAGGTGGAGCTGGAGCAGGGATAGTGATCGAAACCCCCGAGGGCGTCATCCATGAAATCGCAATGCGTTTCACTGAGCTGAAAACCAACAATGTGGAAGAGTACGAAGCACTAATTAATGGGTTGCGACTCATCTCGAGCATGGGAGCAAAGAGAGTGAAGATCTATTCAGATTCGGCGCTAATGGTCGGGCAGGTAAATGGAAATTTCGAGACGAAGGAAGAGGAGCTGACAAGACTAGCTGGAAAGGCTCAAGGAGCGTTGGCCCAAATGGAGGAATGGACCTTGGAGCACATCAGAAGGGAGAGCAACGGACACGCCGACGCGTTGCCCAAGCTCGCCACTGCAATGGATTTTGAGGGAGAAAGACAAGTTACGGTCACCAAGGAGGTGGCATAGTTGGATAGCGTGAACGAATTAGAGGCGGAAGATTAGCGGCGCGGGATCCTAAACTTCCTCGAAAAAGATGAAGTTCCAAATGACCCGACCATGGCGAAGGCGCTCCGAAGAAAAGCTCTCTGGTTCACGGTCGTAGGGGGAGAGTTATACAAAAGATCCTTTTCCGGAGTCTATCTGAAATGCATTGGAGGCGATGATGTAGGTCATGTGCTACAAATGATACATCAAGGCACTTGCGCCACCCACATCGGACCGAGAGCCCTTGTGCGAACCATCCTCCTGCAAGGGTATTATTGGCCTACCATAAAGAAGGATGCGCTCAAGGTTGTTCAAGAATGCCACGCCTGTCAGATCCACGCGGACAAACATCACCGACCCGCTTCCGAAATGAAGGGCATTGTTAGCCCATGGCCGTTCGCGAGATGGGGACTCGACCTGCTGGGGCCGTTCCCTAACGCCCCGCTTGGAAAGAAGTACCTTGTGGTCGCCGACGATTATTTTACGAAATGGATAGAGGCGGAACCACTGGAGACAATCACAAGCGCTCAGATACAAAAGTTCCTTTTCAACAACGTCATTATACGCTTCGGCGTACCGAAGGCGATCATTGCAGACCATGGAACCCAGTTTGACTGCCGAACCTTCGAGAAGTTTTGTGCGGAGTATGGCATAAAGTGTAGCATGGCGTCAGTTGCTTTTCCCCAGGCCAATGGCCAGGTAGAGTCCTCCAACAAGCTCATACTAAGAGGCTTGAAGCGAAGGCTGGGCGAGGCGAAAGGGGCATGGACCACAAAGCTTCCTCATATCTTGTGGGCCCACCGCACCACATGCAAAACAGCCACAAGGGAAACACCTTTCGCCCTCACCTACGAATACGAAGCGATGGTCCCTGCAGAGCTAGAGTTGCCCACTCTCCGGGTGCGAGCCTACCAGGCGGAAGACAACCACACTAACCTACTACACCAACTGGATCTTACGGAGGAGCGCCGAGAAGCATCGCTCACAAGAATCATGACCGAGAAGGCAAGGTCGCCAAGGCGTATAACGAGAAGATCAGGCCACGCCCACTGGTGGAAGGCGACCTAGTCCTTAAGAGGATGTTCGACAAGAAGGAGAAAGAGAAACACGGAAAGCTAGCAGCCACATGGGAGGGACCCTACATAATCAGTGACAAGCTAGGTCCCAGCACTTTCAAGCTCGCCACCATGGGCGGGGAACCAGTCAGTAAGACATGAAACTCCATGCACGTGCGCAGGTATCATATGTCGGGTTGAAAATGTAATAGCATTTTGTAGGTCAATTAATCACAAGAACGTTTGACCGCTCATTCCAAGGCCACGCTCATAACACGCCACCCTGAGGCAGAGCGAGTCCGAGATCAAACGCACCCCGGGACATGGGTTATTCATAATACGCTACCCCAAAGCAGAATAACCCGCCCGCGGAAGGCTCTGAGGGGCAGGAGCTCGCTCATAACACGCCACCCCGAGGCAGAGCGAGTCCGAAATCAAACGCATCCCGGGACATGGGTTATTCATAAAACGCAACCCCGAAGCAGAATAACTCGCCCACGGAATGCACTGAGGGGCAGGAGCTCGCTCATAACACGCCACCCCGAGGCAAAGCGAGTCCGAAATCAAACGCATCCCGGGACATGGGTTATTCATAAAACGCTACCCCGAATCAGAATAACCCTCCCGCAGAATGCCTTGAGGGGCAGGAACTCGCTCATAACACGCCACCCCGTGGCAGAGCGAGCTCGAGATCAAAACCATCCCTGGACATGGGTTATTCATAAAACGCTACCCCGAAGCAGAATAACCCGCCCACTGAATGCCATGAGGGGCAGGAGCTCGCTCATAACACGCCACCCCGAGGTAGGGCGAGTCCGAAATCAAACGCATCCCGGGACATGGGTTATTCATAAAACGCTACCCCGAAGCAGAATAACCCGCCCGCGGAAGGCCCTGAGGGGCAGGATCTCGCTCATAACACACCACCCCGAGGCAGAGCGAGTCCGAAATCAAACGCATCTCGGGACATGGGTTATTCATAAAACGCTACCCCGAAGCAGAATAACCCGCCCACGGAATGTCCTGAGCGGCAGGAGCTCGCTCATAACACGCCACGCCGAGGCAGAGCGAGTCCAAAATCAAACGCATCTCGGGACATGGGTTATTCATAAAACGCTACCCCGAAGTAGAATAACCCTCCCGCGGAACGCCCTGAGGGGCAGGAACTCACTCATAACACGCCACCCCGTGGCAGAGCGAGCTCGAGATCAAACGCATCCCTGGATATGGGTTATTCTTAAAATGCTACCCCGACACAGAGCGAGTCCGAAATCAAACGCATCCCGAGACATGGGTTATTCATAAAACGCTATCCCGAAGCAGAATAACCTGCCCACGGAACGCCCTGAGGGGCAGGAACTCGCTCATAACACGCCACCCCGAGGCAGAGCGAGCTCGAGATCAAACGCATCTCGGGACATGGGTTATTCATAAAACGCTACCCCGAAGCAGAATAACCTGCCCGCGGAACGCCCTTAGGGGCAGGAACTCGCTCATGACACGCCACCCCGAGGCAGAGCAAGCTCAAGATCAAACGCATCCCGGGACATGGGTTATTCATAAAACGCTACCCCGAAGTAGAATAACCCACCCGCGGAATGCCCGAGGGGCAGGAACTCGCTCAAGACACGCCACCCCTAACTTGAGCTATTCCTACACCACTACCCTGAAACCGGAAAACCCATCTGCGGTACGCGTGTCGATTGCCTTGTTCATAAACGTGAGCATTTTAAGGCGGATGCGAGTATCCTACGTCGCGCGTACCGAAAGCAAAATGATAAACACACAAGCATATACGTTTCCCAGCAAGGGGGGGCACACCACATGATGAGCGTAAACAGCAGCAGAGAAACAAACCCGTCTTAAAATAAACTTACGGAAATCGTTCAAGGTACGAAAAAAGAAATTACAAAGAAGGAAAAAAGTAAAATCAAACTGCGCCTTCAGAGGTAGCTTCCTCTCCCCCGGCGCCTTCAGCAAGAGCCTGCTCGGAGTTCACGTCACTCTCAGACGTACCCCACGCCACCACCGCGTCCCACACAACATTAGTGTCCCACTCGAGCTCAGGATAGCTGCGGCGGAGCAGGTGCCGAATAGCAGCAACAGTATCCCCCATGATCTTGGAGCGCTTCGCATCGTCAATCTTGCGAAAGGCAGGCGATAGTAAGTAAGCAGCCACCGCAGCCTTGGCCGCAGCATCGACTTCTGTTTTATGCCTCAAGGCAACCTCTTTCTTCTCCTCCTCCAGCTCCTCAACACGTGTGCAGTACCGATTGACATCCGCTTCCAGCACTTCCTTATCGGCCATCAAACTATTCCCCTTCTGAATGCTCCGGGATAGATCCGCATGCAGATCCTTCACCATCTCCGCATGCTCTTTCTCCAGCTCCGCCTTGACCTCCGCCCGGCACGCTAGGCGCCCTTTCAGGGACTCAGCCTCCAGCTCTCCGATTCGTTTGCGCAGTTTCTCCGCTTCTACGCCGCTCCGCAAGTTCGCCATCTTGAGCTTTTCATTGGTCACCCCGATTTGGGAAAGACCAACACCATCCTGCCAAAAGAACGAGTAAGAAATCGAATCGTAACGCAAAGCCAACAAGAAACAAATAGAAAGCATAACTTACCGCCAATAGAAAATGGGCGGCGGTGCCAACCCAGTGCCTGGACGATGGGTCCTCCACCTCCGTATATTCTGGAGGAACGACAAGCTTCCCAGACAGCTCGTGCAGCATCCGACGAGCGCAGTCTTCACGAACCGAAGAGTGCAGGGAGAAGGCAACGGTCTCAGACAAAGCGGTGGCCTTTGTTTTCTTCCGGCCTTGGTCGGCGTCCTCAACTGGCGCCTCCGCAACTCGCTTCCCAAGATCTCGCGCGAGGCGGCTTCCATCACCGCCTGTGCTCACCACCATCACCCCATCAGCTCCGCCGGTGAGCGTAGCCTGCCCAGCGGGAATGGGAGTCTTAACCAAAGAGCCGAGCGCCCTAGCCGCCACTTGGGGGGTCGAGGAAGCACCAGGTTTCGAGGTGGAGCTGGGCGCGTTCGGAGGCTTCGCACAGCTACCCTGTTACGCCTCGGCGGCCTCGCCATTAAAGCCACGCTCCCGAAATTCATAGCTGCAAACCGGACAAACGTTAATACCGCAAGCGAAGTCGATAAACATTTTTTACAAAAGGCAAACACACTACTGACCATCTCTTAAGAATCCAGCTAGAATGGCTCCCACGGAGTCAGGTCCCCCAGTCCTCACGTCAAACTGGGGCAGCTCCGCAAGTTTCAATGCGTGGTCTTTCTGAGAATCAAGTGTCCATAGCTTCGCGTCCCAATTCTCTTTCCGCTCGTAAGCAAACCCAGTCCTCGGTTCCTTATCTCCAGAGTACCACTTTGACGTAGGCTTCGCATAAAATAAGTCTCTAAACCAAGGCGAGTCCAGCTTGGGAGAACCCCTAACAAACCCAAAAGCCTTATCCCGCCGCCCGAAAGACCACACGTTCGACACCCGTCGGAGTCCGTACAAAAACCAAAATCCGGCTAACGTTGGTTCCTCCCCACTCCGTTCGCACGCGAGTCGGCAGGCGCATGCGTGGAATATGATGGTGGGAGATAAGCGCCCTAAGGTGCAGTTTAAACACAACAGGGTCTGTGTTATGATAGGATCAAGGGGGAACCGCGCAACCCCAACTTCAATTGTTCAATATATATCGTCACCCATCCCTTCGGACATGTCCCTGCTCTCGAAGTCGGCGAAGGGGATGCATATTTCCATTCAATAGGCAGCTGGTATGTTCGGAGGCGGGTGAGAACCGTCGTGGGTTTCAATTTGATGTACCTATCCGGTCCCCGGTCAAAGGCGCGCGGGGGAACTTTGCCTCTTCCCCACATGTTTCATGAAACCGCACCGAATATTCGTCGTCTTCCACCGCGCGGTAATCCGTTTCCGTTGTATCCTCGGAAAGTTCCAAAGATGGCGAGTCAAGACGCTCGGCGGACATCGGGTCATCAATGCTCAAGCCCTCCTCAGTGCTCACGCTCGCCAATGAAACGTCAAAATTGGCCAAGTTATCCCTGATGGCGGACGCGTCGCCCCTAGCCGCTATAGATTCTATGCCTAAACCCAAAGTAACGTCCGTCAATTCAAACGAACCGTCCCCAGCCCTACCCAGCAAGAACTTGTCGTCGTTTGACCAAGACCCACCAAAGTCCACATCTACCCCACCCAGATCCCAATCAATATCAGACATACTAAAGGGCGATAAAACGTTCAGATTAAGCATGCCTTGAGCGGCAGCAGTGATAGGATCCGACACCGTCTCCGACGATTCAAGGTTTATCGGAGAGGCTGAAGAGGGAACGACAGGGGCGGCGGGGGTAGTAGCGGCAGCGGCGGTGGCGGCAGCAACAGCGCCGCCGGGAGTGGAGGCGGCGGTGGAACCAGCGGACAATGGCATTTTCCGGGCCGGAGAAGAACCAGAACCAGTTGACGCCGGCACGTTCACGTCGGAATTACCACCAGGCATGATGAGGATGTACCGGAGCACGTATTTCCCACAATGGGCTATGATGAAGGAAGAGGAGGACAGCGTCGTCGGATCGATGAGTGAAAAGAAAGAACAGAATGCAAGAGAGCAGAGAAAACTAACCTGTCTGAATATTCAATGGACCCTTTTAAAGGAGAAGACAGCGCTGTCGTGAGGAAGTCTCTCGAATAAACCCTAGGGGGCTATATAGGTAGCAATGATGGCGGAAATTAGAAAAGACTGACAACACGTTTCCCCAGGGGGACAAGACGACACGCGACAGTCGGTTGGGTGATCTAAGCCCGAGGCATGACATACTGGATTCGGCGGGTGGAGGGAGAAGTTACGCGTGCGGTTTAGGGATCGCTTAGTTATCCCCGCCCTGGCTCAAGAATCAGTCGCCGAAATCCAAAGGCTTTTCCCGCCTGCGGGACAATTGTTGGGCCAATGGGGATAACCAAGCGAGCCCAATAAGCAGCCTGGGCCTAGCATATTGCTCGGGGAAGGCCCAATGGCATGAGGGTCTGGTCAGTGAAAGCCCAGTAAAGACAACGCCAGAGGCGGGAAATCACCATGAGCGTGCATAGGGAAGGCAAACTCTACAGGACAGTAGTAGCGGTAATCATACCTATTTCTAACAACATTAAATGCACCTGAAGGCATGGATACGTGAATGGCACGACAAGTACACGCCCGGCAGAGCATTTAATGCTCGTACCAACTCTCTCTCCACTATAAATAGAGGCTCAACCACATCATTTGATGGTAACTGAACTACTCCCTTCTCTATCTACTTTCTCTCTCTATCTAACACTGACTTAAGCATCGGAGAGTATCCGAGGCCCCCGCCTCCGGATCCTTCTTGCAGGTAAAGGAGCACGCTTGCGTTGAAGGAAGAGCCAGGTTCCCCAGAAGCAGCCCCCAATCCCGCCTTGGAACTTTCCAGGCTTAAACAATTTTGCTTCTCGAAAAGTTGACACAGACCAACCAAGGTGTTTAAGTGAGCTAGAACGTCTTTAGTAGTCTTTGTTGCCAAGTGTTACAAAAGACTTTTGAGTTTGTCACCGGGAAGCAGGTATTGTTTTTGTGGGACATGCAATTCGGGTACAATCGTGTTTGTCATGGGTAAGTTCTATGAAGGCCTTCTTGACTCTTTTCTTGCGGATAGTTTGGCATTACACCACTCCTGATAATGGTGCTCAATACTTAACACATAATTTCCTTTTCCTCAACTGTCATGGCACTTCTCTTCTGACGATTCAGCTGGTGTTGGTGGGAGATACTCAAAATGCCACCGGAGGAGCAATCCTAGAAGATATCCGCAGGTTTGCCGGACTCCTTGAGTTTTGTTCTTGCTCCAATGTTACTCGTCGCGAGTTAATAGAGCAGCCCATTTTGTGGACAATTTGCTCTTTCATCGGAAGTTCGACGATTAGTTGACTTCCGCCCGTGGTTAATCTCTGTCCTCTAACTTTGTTTCAGGACTTTCGTCTGGTTCTGACTATGTTAAAAATTAAAAAAGCGGTGGTGTAAACTTAGAACAATATAATAGATATTGGTGCTCCAAGAGTCCTAACTCTTTGCGTAGATCAGTTCTGGAATTCCATAAATACCACGTAAATTGGTTTGTCTGCCCGTTTTATTTTCATCGTCGGTGATTGTTCTACAATTTAAATAAAGAGAATTACAATCTAACTACTCAAGAATCTCTTCTCCTTGGTCTTTCACGAAGTAGGAGCAAAAAGACAAACCCAGAGCCATCACCACGAAGAAAACAAGCGACACACCGCCAACTCGTAGCGGACGAGCCAGAGGTCGAGAGGACAGCACAAACACGATCTCGGCTACCCTGTTAACCACAACTGCGAAGCCGATCCCTTGTGCGCGCAGCCTGTAGCACTTGAAAGCCTCGGCGGTGTGGATCCAGGTGATCGGCCCCAACCCGGCCTCGAACGAGCATGCTATCCCGGCTATTCCGAGCAGGCACAAACCTACCACAACCACCTCGTAGCTGTCGCTCTCAGATGCCGCGATCAATCCGTGCTGGACGACGAGGAGTGGAAGGCCGAACATCATCAGGAAGCAGCACGAGGCGCACATGCTAGCCAGGAGTAAGAACCTGCGCCCGACTCTGTCGACCACGAGGCTGGAGCACATCACCGAAACCGCTCTCAGCATGAGTACGACCCCGTTAGCCACGTCCAGGAGTTTCGTCGACACGTTATCGTAAATGACCAGTACGGCATGGGCAGTCAGGGTGTCGACTCCGGAGAGCTGGCGGAGAACGTTCAAACCCGCCACGGCGAGGACGATGCGTCGATTTTGAGGCAGCTGAAGGAAATCCCTCCACACGATCCGCCGATTCCTGGTGTTGTTGTTGTTGTTGGCTTCCAGTCCCAACTGTGCTACGATGTGGTTGGTTTCCGTCTGGCTCCGCCTAGTTCTTTCCAGGATCTGGGTGGCTTCGTTGACCTGCTGACGTCGCATGACCAGCCAGTACGGGGACTCTGGCATCAGACACATGCATGACGTCAGCAGAACAGAAGGAAAAACGGCTACCAAGAACATCACTCTCTGTCCCACCCCAGCAGGGAACCGTGAGGACATCGAATAAAATTGGTAGCCGAATAGAATTCCCATGTTGAGCCACACCTTCATGTATACATTATAAAAAAGAAAAACCCAACGTTAGTATTATATATGATGAGATGAAACTACATATACAATCAGATGAATATATATATACCTCGGGGGCGGAGGTTAGTAACCCTCGAGTCGGAGCCGGAGACATCTCTGCGATGTAGAGAGGCGCGATGGTGAGCGCCAAGCCGACGCCAAAGCCCGACAACAGTTGGCCGGCGAGAAGAAGAGGGTAAGAAGAAATCGAGAAAGACTTGAGCAAGTTGCCCACGAAAAAGAAGCCACCCGTTGCGGCGAGGGTGTATTTCCTCCCGAACCGATCCGCCAGCAGGCCTGCCACGACGGCGCTGACGATGGCGGCAGCGTCGCTAACACACACCGCCACGTCGGCTTGACGGTTCGCGACGTGGAGGTTCTTCTGGACCGCGGTCCATCCGTATTTCGTGACGGCGGAATCTGAAGAAGGAATTAAACAAGAACAGCGCATTAGAGCGATGAGTAAATTAACGATTGATCAGCACTTGATTTTTCCACTTAAAACGAACTTATTAATTACCGTAGCCGACCAAGAAGAAGGAAATTGAAGCAACGAGTGGGAGGAAGAAGTACTTGAGCTCCATATTTCGTAATTCTGTCTTCTTCTCTTTTCTTTTTTTTTTTTTTTTTTTGTGAACTCTTTCGTAATTCTGTAGTGCTAAATATTGTGGATAGAGGAGGTTGAGGTATAATTCGAAAGGACGAATGGAAGTAGGTATATATAGATGCTTGGAACGTGAAAAATATTGTCACTTAGTCTTGAATTACGGAACATAGGTTTGGACGTTTAACATGAATGAAAAATTTACAAACGTAACGTAACAAAACGATCACACAACGTCTACACATATTTTTCACGACGTGGGTTGTTAATAAGCGCCAAGAAGTGGTGAATTTGTAGTCAGTTACTTGTAGGAAGTAAACGATTTGTGAATACGGTAGAGGCTTTGGCATTTTCTTAGAAAATGGACGCTTGCATGCATGCATCGATCGTTTTAAATCCTCACGTCGTCGCTTACCACTTTTTGTCTTCGTCCCTTATAAAAAAAATTGCAAGTTTGCTTGTATAGTTAGAGACGAGTACGTACTCTAATAATAATGTATAGAAGCCAAACTCATCTACCACCGCTATTGTCGTACGTCGACACTAAACTGTTAGAAAGGGAAAGTGAAGATTTGTACGGGTTTTCTTTTCCTCAAATGGGGATTGTGATTTTTTTGTCTCGACGTATAAGAGAGAAATGGCTACCTACTACGATTTGTAGGTAGGAAGACTACAGAGGTCGTATTATCGAGGGTCTCTAATCAACAAATCATATAACAGTTGGTACTCGAAAATTAGTTTGTGATTTTAAGTGCGCCATGCACAATGCAAAAAAGAAAAAAAGAAAAAAATTGAATTGAAAATTTTGATTAAAGGCGATTATCCAGATTATATATATCTCCCTAGACTATGTGAAATACCAAATTATTCGAACGCACAATTGCAGTCTAAGGTTTGATTTTATAATGTATTATGCATGCCTAACAATTATTCAATCTAACTGACTGTGATGGATCTTACATATTTCTGTTTTAAGAAGTCTGAGCAGCTCATTGATTGGTGAACAATTACGTTTATATATTCTCGGTCTATCTCTCTCAAACTTAAATATCGAAACCCTAACATCTAAGATACACCACTACGAAAAGTGGAATAAAGAATAATCACATGAGATAAACCCAACAAAGAGGTCAATCGCATTGATCAAATAACAAGTTGTAAAGTGTAAACCATCAGACTAGCATTCCACATAACTAAAATAATCTAGAGTTAAGTTACTAATGAATATAAGAAAGATAATAGATACGAGAGGGGATGAGAAAGTTTAAACCCTAGTAATGGATTAGGGTTCCTGAGGGAAATGGAAGAAGAGAGAGTACGAAGGTGGCTGTGGAAATTTTGCCAAGATGGCCTTCATTTCATTTTCTGCAGACTTTATACATAGACAAAAGCTGTAAAGGAATCTACCTTATTCTACTAAAATGAAAGAGTAAAGCATCTAATTACAAACGCAACTAAACTTTAACTGTACAAATGACAAAATGCCAAGTGGCTTATTACTGTACAGCACATCTAACAAACTTCTTCTTTCTCATACGGCACCGTTTCTGCTTGTGAAGTCTACCACTTAGACAAGTCGACACCGTTTGGAGCCAATCTCCTTCTTCGTTTATTCTGGGTGAAAGGAAGCCCAGAATACTCTACAGTGCTCATCAATGGCTGCTCCAGTAACCTTTCCTTCACAAGCCCCCTCAAGCTGGGAGGTAGATGTCTTGAACTCCCAGCTTGGAAAGAAAAAACACAAAACGATAAGTTGACAAACCCTTAGTGAAGAAGTCTGCAACTTGATCTTCTGTGCGAATGTGATGCAAACTGAGGAGGCCTGACTTCAGCCTTTCATGAGTGACATGGCAATCTACTTCAATGTGCTTTGTTCGGTTGTGAAAGACTGGATTCTCTGCAATATGTAAAGCGGATTGATCATCACAGAAAACCCTTACTGCATAGGATGTTTCACTTCATAGAATTCCAGCAGTGATTGCGACTACTGTACTTCACAGGACACCTGAGCCAAGACTCTATATTCAGCTTCTGACGAAGATCATGATATTGTAGTCTATTTCTTACTCTTCCAGGTCACAAGGGATTCACCAAGAAAGGTGCAACAACCAATCATTGATCGCCTGGTGTCAGGGCAAGTAGCCCAGTCTGAGTATGAATAACCACTGAGCTGAGTAGAACTTGCTGTAGAAAACCATAAACCTTGAGGTGGACAGGATTTTAAGTAACTGAGAACTCTGTGCAAGGCTTGAAAATGAACATTGGTAGGGCCCCCCTGAAATTGACAGAGCTGCTGGACAGGAAAGCAGATGTCTGGCCTCGTGGTGGTCAAGTACTGAAGCTGTCCCAGCAAATGACGAAATTCAGAACCATCAGGAAGTGGAGTCCCATCTGTGGCAGAAAGGGAGGTCTTCATACTCATAGGAGTCTTGGCAGGTTCAGATTCCAGGAAATCAGAAAAAGCCAAAAGTTCTAAACAAAACTTTCTTTGGCAAAGAGAAATGCCTGCTGCAGATCTGGTAATTTCAATGCCAAGAAAATACTTGAGATTGCCTAAGTCTTTGATCTTGAAAGAAGGTTGTAAGTGATGTTTAACTGCTTGTATAAGTTATAAATAATATGATATTATAATTTATTTTATTTTTAAAATGATATAAATGAAGGAAAATTATATTTTCTAATTAAAATATGGTAAGGATAATCTTGTGTTTTCTAAACAGCTTTTCGCAGAAGCTCCAAATCGGAGCTTCTGCTTTTATGTTGTACAAAAGCGCTTTTCGGCTTTTCAAAAGCCGAGCTTTTAGAAGTGTTTGGCCCTGCTTCAGCTTTTGAAGCCGAAACGCACTTCTAAAAGCCGGGCCAAACATAGGCAATGTTTATGAATGGTTTGTAATCTAGGAAAAGATAAATGCCCTAGTCTTAAATGCCATAAGGCTGAATCCTGACTGGTTTTCACTCCACAGACTTGGTGTTTGTTGGATTGAGTTGACTCAGCTTCACTCCCAAGCAAGTATAGCCCTCTATCTACCCGGATTGAACCAATCTTCTGTTGAGAGATTAGGTCCTGAACACAACAGAAGTTTGATTCAAACAAAAATGAGATAGGTGTGTTTTTGGTTAACTGGCTGACAGAGATGAGATTGTAGGAAAAACTTAGTACTAACAAAACATTGGTCAGAAGTATTCCACAAGGCAACTTAACTAATCCTACATGAGTAACTCTAGCCTTTTGACCATTAGGCAGGTTCGCATGCATGTTCTGAGCTTCTTGACATCTCAAAAACACACTTTCATTGCAAATTATATGGTCACTAGAACCTGTATCAAGCACCCATATAGCAGAATTAACATTCTCTAGATTGGTAGTGAGACAAGTGCTACCTAAAATAGTGTGTCGAGAGGTGGTGGGATGAGTAGTAACAGAGTTAGACTGATGGAACTGAGAGGTGGAACTGGTTGTTTGCTGAAGCAGATTTCGCAGTCTGTTGATTTCTTCAGATGAGAACCATAAAGGTTGTCCCTCTTGACTGTTTCTCTTATTAGATGCGGGACTTGTAGGACTAAGTGCACAGTGCACTGCCACTTGATGAGTTCAAGCTTTCTCCTGAACTGGTCTCAATAGAGCCTGCAAAACTCTTCCCACCAGCTTCATTCTTCCTTTTGTTTTTCAACTTGTAATAGTCCTCAATCATGTGATTGTCCTTCTTCCAATAGCGACAGAACAACTCTTGTTGTGGCTTCTTACTGTCTATACCACCATCCCTTCCATCATTCCTTCTCTAATTAGGATAATTAGAAGGTGAAGCAAGAGCAATAGAGTCAGTTGCAGTCTTCGGTTTTCCAGTACCCATTTGCCTCTCAAGCTGAACAACAGCCCTATAAATTGTATCCATGTATGGCAAAGGGTCAAGCATAAGCATTTGAGTCTTGACCTGTTGATAACTTTCATTCAAACCAAGGAGAAAGCGAATAACTCTCCTCCTCTCTTGGTACCTGATCGCAGTCTCATAAGTCCTAGAAGCACAATCACAAAATGGTATAAGTTCATAATGATGCTGTTCATCCCAGCACAACTTCAGGTTGGTGTGGTACTGCCTAACTGTCTGATTGCCTTGCTTAGCAATATCAATTTTCTCCTATAAATTTGCAGCCTTGATTAAACTTTGATTTCAGATATGTCCAAGCTTCAGCAGAAGATCTGATGTTTCTAAGACTGGGTACTATCCTCATTCACAGAATTACGAATCCAACACAAAATAGTACCATTGCATCTATCCCAACTACTACGAGAAGGATCTTGGTCATCAGGTACCTTGATTGTGTCGTCGATGAAACCCCATTTGTTTTTGGTTCGAAGAGCGACCTCCAAGGACTCGCTCCAGAGCAGGTAATTGTCATCGTTAAACTTGAAATCGATGACAGGAAGAAAAGAGTAATCACTTGTAGCGAGGTATAAAGGGTTGGAATATGGATTCTCATATCGTGAGGCTAAAGCCTTTCCTCCATCAAAGCTCTCGTTGCCCGCCACTGTTGGAGACGAGGTTGAACTAGAGCAGTAGTGTTTTAGTGTTGATGGAAGAAAGCAGGATCAGAAGAAGGATCAGAAGCCTAACCAGGCTCTGATACCATGAGAAAGTTTATTCCTGAGGGAAATGGAAGAAGAGAGAGTACAAAGGAGGCTGCGGAAATTTTGCCAAGATGGCCTTCATTCCATTTTCTGCAGACTTTATACATAGACGAAAGTTGTAAAGGAATATACCATGTTATACTGAAACGAAAGAGTAAAGCATCTAATTACAAATGGTAACTAAACTTAAACCAATGACAAAATGCCAAGTGGCTTATTACTGTACAACGACATCTAACAAACTTCTTCTTTCTTATACGGCGTCGTTTCTGCTTGTGGAGTCTAGCACTTAGACAAGTCGACGATGTTTGGAGCCATTCTTCTTCGTTTATTCTGGGTGAAAGGAATCCCAGAATACTCTGCTGTGCTCATCAATGGCTTCTCCACTAACCTTCCTTCACATCTAAGATACACCACTACGAAAAGTGGAATAAAGAATAATCACACGAGATAAACCCAACAAAGAGGTCAATCGCATTGATCAAATAACAAGTTGTAAAGTGTAAACCATCAAAACTAGAATTCCACATAACTCAAATAATCTAGAGTTAAGTTACTCGTCCATATAAGAAAGATTATAGATATGAGAGGGGAAGAAGCACAAAAATGATGCCCTTCTTGATTGTTGTCCTTCTTCTCTAAATTGATTCTCGTGAGCTACTCGAGAGAGAGTGATTTCGAAGCCAAACCCTACTTGGGGTTAGTCAAAATATAAATATAATTTCTCTCCTCTGAAATTCTCCCTTGCTATCGAGCTTTTTCAATCCGACAATCCAATCGGACCAGTATGATTTGGTACGTATCAGGATGATTGTCAACGTTATAAACTTGTGGTTTGTGAATGTTGTTTAGTTGTTTTGTACTTCGTACTGGTTTCTAAACATGCATTTGGACGATTATATAGTTGATTAACCAAAAAAAAATATAGGGTTAATTGCAAGATTGGTCACTGGGTTTACTAAAAAGGTTTATATTTAGTCATTACAAATATTTAATTCCATTTATGGTCATCAAAATTAGCTAAATGTTTCAAATTTGGTCACTCTCCGTCCAACTCCGTTAGTTTTGTCTGATGTGGCAGTCAACTCTCAAAGTTGACCATTAACTAGTGACGTGGCAATTAAAAAAATAATAAATAAAATAAAATTTAATCTTTTAGAATTTCCAGGTCATTTTCACACTAAAGTAAAATAATGAAAACAAAAAATATATATATTATAATTTTCAAATTGAAAAATCCAACGACCTCAGCTTCAGCGCGTCGCCTCCGGTCACACTTTCATCCCGCCGATTGATTTCTAGTCAATTGCAAAATCTAAATCTATCGTATTTATTCCTTTATAGTCATTTACTCTGAACTTCTATTACGTTTTGATGTACTCGTGTTTCGATGTAGGATAACTACAACATTAAAGCAAGGCAGAAGTTCAGTTTTTACCTACCTGGCAAATTGTAGGATAACTATCAGATTGTGAATATTAAGAGTGCAGCAGTACTCTGTTTACAGAATCATTTGTGTTACTACCAAATTGGAGCAAGTACTAATGACATCAGACCTATCTTAGCATTATTCTCATGTAGTCTAACATCTTCAGTGACGGCAGATCTCTAATGGAAACTCAAGACAGCATAACGGTGAACGCATGTTTCTATGTTCATTTCATCGTCTCTTGGATGAAGCAGCAGCCCCTTTGTTCTTTGGAGTATAAGCAAACTTGGTGAAGTCGGGAACAGTTGTTGACCTTCCAACACACAAAGTAGTTACCAAGGTGAGATTTTTTTTAAGTTACTCTGGTCTGATAATAATGATTCCCAAGCAATGCATACGAAATTTCTTACCTGCTGGCACAGGTGTTCTTGATGTCCCTCAGAGGGGCTCGGAGACCGCTAGCACGAGAACCAGAAGACGAGTATCTAAACGATGACAGCATCGATGCAAATCTGTCTACTGACTTCTCTGCTATCTTGGAATATTGGCTCAAATGCTCGATGTTGGCTCCGAATTTGCCTCCTCCAGATTCCTTCTCTGTGAGCTCTTCATCAGTCTCAAAGGAAGAGCAACCACCACCTTGTCGACAGACGAAGAATTGAGGACTATGTCATACTAATGTTTCATTGAGCTTATGAGATTTAATGTGTTCTTAGTCAGAAACTCACCGAGTTCCACAGGTGGAGTAGGAGAAGAAGAAGAAGCATTGTTGCAGAAGTAGGTGGATCTTCTCTTGGCCTGAAGCATTAGAGAGATGTGTTTAACTTCTTTTAAATGTTTACAAGAAAATCAATAAGATGCAGAGAAGGATCTTAATTAGCTAGAAAAATACTCACTTTATCCGTGTTGCCGTTCTGAGAGGTCTTTCTTTTCAATGTGCTTTCATTGGTATTATTTTCGCCAAAACCAGCACTTTCTAATGCAATACCCTCTTGTTCTCTGTCACTGTATGCATCCCCTTTTAGTATACTTTCTTGCCTGCTCTCTGCAACATCAGTCTTCTTCTCAGTCATGCCAGAAAGACTCAGATCATCGTCCTCTTTGGACAGATCACATGAAATATTGTTATTGCAATGAGCTCTCTCAATGCTACTATCTTGGCTGTCCTTGTTAATGGGCTTATGTTGGAAGTAACGGCTCCGAACAATGACCTTTTTGCGTTCTATTCTGTGCTCCTCACTGTCTACATCCACATTAAGTAGACTTTCTTGTCTGCTCTCTGCACCATTGGCTTCTTTCTCTGCCATGGCAGAGAGACTCAAAACACCTTTTCCTTTGGACAGATCACTCAAAACGTTGTAACTGTCGTGAGCTCTCTCTTCAATACTCGCGTGGCTGTCTGCGTTAATGGGCTTATGTTGGAAGTAACGACTCCTGACAATGACCTTTCTGCGTTCTGCTCCTTGTGTCACTCCTTGGGCTGTACTTTGATAGTTCTTGGAATCACACTCTTTCAGTACCGCTTGACCAGATTGATTCAGTGATTGCCCAAAAGCTTTGAGGGGCATATGTCCCATGCTTTCTTTCTCCAGTACTGTTTGTGATCAGTGCATGGTAATGGTGTAAATAAGACTTGAAATATAATTGAGTTCTTTGACCTATTGACAAGAAGTTGCACCCTTACCAGAACTTGGAGGTTCAAAAAACTTGGGTTTGCCTTGGCTTTCCACCTGCAATGAAACAAGGACTTAACTAATGACGTGAAAGTAATGAATCGAAGCCAATAGGACGTCAAATGAAACTGTTCGAATGCCCACTCACTTCCACTTACCATAGCATGAGGAGATATGGTAGACAGGTTCTCAGAGTTAAGGTCGGATGGTGAAGAGCAGCTAATTCGGCCAGAATCACAATAATCTTTTAGGGAAGACATATCCAATGCACTTGTACTCGTAGGTGACTTCCGGGGTGCCTTGAATTTTCTCTTGGCTTCAATAGATGCAAAGCCTTTCAATACAGTTAAAGAAATCATGATATAAACTAGCTCTAGACAACATAAGCATAAAGGCAGGTAATAATATGAATATGCACCTAGGATACTCTTGTCACCAAGAAGCAAGGTAAATCATTGTAATGAACAGATAATAAAGATGGGAGTGAGAAACAGACTTTTTAAAGACCACCTTATGGCATAGTATAATCCCTAAAAGCAACAAATATATGGTCAAAGTTTATAGAGAACTTGTTAAGGATACAAAAGTAATTAGTCAGGAGATTCTTCTGCACTGGCAGATCAATCTTATGTGCTGTACTTTCAGGCTTAGAGGTCTTGACTTTGGAAGTTCCACTAAGCCCAGCTGCAGCAGTTGCAATCCTTCCCTGCTTTTGTAGAAAGTATCCAGTTAGTATTAAGAAAGAGGGAAGAAACATTGGGCAGGTGCAAACATGGAGAACCAGAAAGGAGGGAGGAGAGATGGAATACCTGGAATGACATTTGGGTAAACGGATCCAGATCACCTGTAGCAATACCTTTGGCCACATCTTGTGGAATCCGTGTATTTCCACATTAAGGATAAACTCAGAAACGAGACAACATGATTATCCAAGTATGATAAACTCAGAGTAATAGGCCAACAAGATAAGAAATTTAAAGGATATGGGCCAAGAAAGTCTGCATCACCATCCTGGCTTTCAGGAATGTCAGACAAATGTACAATATCCTCAGCAACAGGATCATACACCCGTTGATGCTGGAAAGTTAATATTGCTTTCCTGAATAATTCTTCGTAGAGAGGAGGAACAGTGACTGTGCTATATCTCAAATGCTTGATTACCTGATTTCAGTTGAATCATCAATCACAAATAATTTATAGATGCATTAGTTATCAAGTTTCATCTAAGACAACCATGAGATTTAGTTCATGTATGGATGGGGTACAAAGTTCACAAGCTTCGTTCATCTAGTTTGACAGACGTGTGGTGTTGTTGAAAGACGTACCTTCTCGTAACTTTTGAACTTCGAAATTAATGCATGAGCCCTTTTCAGGCCCATACCAGGCAGTGACTGCAAATAGTCACAACCACTCAGAATGCACATCTCTAGAACCATTCGGTTAGTGAATCCAGCCAAACATAGTTCCCTGTTCTTGTGAAGCCGGGAATACTGAAACTCAACACCTTGCCCATACTTGTCCATCTTGAATATGATCTGTATTGAAAGCGGATTAGCATGCTCCATCGAAGATTGAGACTATGTGGTAACAAATAGACGACGTGGTAGTAAGTTATTAGTTCAAGAAAATCAGTGACCAGTTAACTCACTCTAGGACATCCAAATGCTATAAGATCCGAGTCCTCAGTTATAACTGCATCCACTTGCTTATTTACTGCCAAAAATGTCATTTGTGCATCTGCCTCGTAAGGAGCCACAACATATGATACATTCTCTTGCTTTAAGACCTTCACATGCAATCATGTTAATAACTGAGTTATAGAAGCAACTAGCGAGAAGATAATAATAGCAACACATGTAGACATCCATCTTTCTTATTTCTACCTGGATTAGGTCATGCGCAATTGAAGGCGATATATCAACAGCCTTCTGGTAGCACTCATAAGCTGCAGTAGAATTTCCATTAGCCTCATGCTCGATCGCACGGGCAAGGTTTTCCTTTCTTGACCTGTAATCGTAAAGGTACATGAAGTCATGAATGTCGCCTTATTTCAATGCCCAATTTCTCTAGCAGCTAACATCAGCAAGCTGCGGATAAACTCAGACCTCAAGACAGCTTCTTGGTTAAATCACAGACAACAATCAAAAGAACCCATATTGGCATCTGACGAATTACAGAAAATACAGATACTACCTTGCACGCTTGTTTTCTTGTTCGAGTTTCATCGGCAGAAAACCTCCATCAAAGACGAGAACAGGTTTAACACCATAGTGCCGCAGCAAATTCACCCTGTGCATGCAATACTCAATGTGCCTAACACAAAGGAAACAAAAACAGATACATCAACAATTGGCAATTCAAAATGCGCCAAATTGGAGTAAGCGATACACATTCAGAGTTTACCCATTTGAAACCTCACTGACAATTTCTCCCACAACACGATGGCAAATAAAATACCCAATAGACGGAAACGAAATCAGCGAAATGAAGACTGGGTTCTGTAGAGGGAAGTAAAAAGACCTGGAGGTGGGTCGCCCTTTGCAGAGGTCCGTGCTGCAGGACAAGGCGCCTTTGTGAAGCCAAGAGTAGGTATCAACAGCAACGCAACAGCCCTGTAAGTCTTTGATGTGGATTGGCTGCATCGTCGACTTCAAAAGTGGCAAAAGCCCCTGTATCCCCATTTCTTTGATTCGCTCTCTTTTTCTTCTTCCTCTTCCTCCGACCTTAACGGCGAGCAGTCATTTTTCTGATCGAGGGAATTTATTTACTTCCGTCGACCCCAGGAGCTGTGGTAATGGGATGCCGATTGGATTCCAGGGCTTTTCCGAATCCCTAGAATCGCCCCCATTTCTTTCCGCCAAGGCTAGTAAGGTTTGGCGGGAACTTTTGGCCACCAAATCCTTTTTCTTTTTCTTTTCGCCAGTAATTAGTTGTTGTTTTTTCTAAGAATACCAGTAATTAGTCTGAATATCATTTTTCTTCAAGTTTGTTTGCTAATAGGTCGCCGACGGGATGGAGATTGTGAAATAGATTCAAGGTTATACCGCAAAAATTAATGATATGATATTTTGTAATAAAATCGTGATTTAAATATGACTAAATCATTCTAAAATTGTTTATTGGTTTGAGGTCAGGTACCTGGTATTTTCGACCGTCCAGACGATTGGGTACGATTTTTAACACTAGCTAAATGTTAATGGGGCGGACTTGACTAGGAAAGGGATTGGACTTGAAGTGGTTGTGAACATAGTTAGTAAAATACGGTACGGGAAAGTTCGTGTAAAATACGTTCGAGTATCTTACTTCATCTCTAACCTAATGTATTTAATAGTACGTTAATAATCATAAATATATAAAATTAATTATTTAAAAATTAATATAATATAATAATATATAAATAATAGTAAAGTTAACCATTTAATTCATTAAATACGGATATTAAACGTGTAATACGGGTTTTATACGTGTTTAGTACGAGAGCCATCAAATGAACGGAAAGAAATGAAACGACTTGACAATAATACGGATTCAGAAGTTTTAAACGGATAAATTACGTACGGGTACATATACATGTATTAAACGGAGTATTTAGTAACTATGGTTGTGAGAAATGCATCAGGAGAATTTCTTATGGCAACGGCCAGACGAGATAGGGATCCATGGTCACCATAGATACAAGAGTTTCAAGCGATTGGATTCGGTCTTTGTGAAATGGAACTGAACAAGCTCCTCGCTGTGGTTGTCGAAATGGTTTGTGAGACAACTTATTTAAAATTGTAGAACGAGACACAATTATGGAGGTTGGGGGCTACTGGATGGACTCAGTAAGGAGGCCAAACGACTTGGGTCGGCCAACTGGAACCCAACTATGGTGCTAACATCATAGCCTACTAGCATGTGCTAACATGCATTGTGCCACTAAATCGAGGCGCAAAGCACTCGTGGCTGTTGAATGAACACAATGATTAAAAAAAATCCTCTGTTTTACTCTTCCAAATCCTTTTAGGATCAAACTAAGGAAGCTATTATATTTGTACTCTCTGCATTGAGGTTAAGATAATTTAAGATGTACTCCTCACATAGACCGTAGGCTATTTTCTACTCAAGCATAGGGTCGAGAACGAGTTTCGGGATGACTGGAGGTCAAAAAGCGCAAAAACTGAAGAAAAGTCCAAAGTGACTGTGACAATTGCCCCGTAACAGTGAAGCGCAGGCGTCCAGGAACCGGCCATAGTTCACGGTCAGAGCTGCGAGTTCAGGGTCGCTAGGACGGTGAACTGGAACAACAAACCGTGAACAGCGAGGCGTCCAGGGGAGTGCCAGAGGTTACTAACGAAAAGGCAGTTCACGATCGCTAAGACCGTGAACTTTGAGCACAAACCGTGAACCCCGGGAAGTCAAGCGGTGCGTTTTGGCCACAACACTGAGTTCACGGACGCGTTTAGGTGTTCACGGTCGTGAACTGGGCGCGATCTTAGTATAAATGGAGAGCTGATAGGATGAAGAGGGGGACCTTCATTTTTAGGTTAGGTTTTCATTTTTCAGAATAAAGAGGATTCTAGTGAGAGGTTAGGGTTTCTTCTAGAGTGAGAAAGTGCAAATTAAAGGAGGAAGAAGGAGCTTTGGGCTTGTTCCTAGCCAGAGGATTTGAAGATTTATTCAACTCAAGGGTGTCTCAAGCAACAAGGAGGAGAGATTGGCATCATTTCATGGTTCTTTTTTCCCCTTTTGTTGTTTTCTCTTGTCTACCTATGAAACAGCCTACCTACTCACTTCGGTATTGTGAATCATTGTCTCTCTATGTGTTAGGATGTAAGAACATCAACCTATTGTGTTGGTTGAGTGTTTTATATAATATTTGAGGTATTATTCATGAATGATTGAGTGTGCTAACTTTAACTCAATATTGGGTAAAATTGACCTAGAGGGTGGAAATCCCCTTTTGGTCCAATAGGAAGCTTGACTTCTTAGCCACTTGGGTAACCTCCTTTAGGTCGATTTAAGACCAAAATCTCAAGTATCGGAGTAGGGTCGTGATTCCCCCGGGATTGGTCTCTCCGCTGACCGGATTAAGTTCCGAGGGTTTGGTTTCCAATCCTTAGTCGGCTAGTCGAGAGGGTTAGGTTTCCTAGCCTATCGTTGTCACCCTTAGCCGAAAGGTTAAGTGAGTTAGCTTTCTAACTTGTTGCAACGATTCTCAATTAGCTAACTAAGAGAGTTAGGGATCTCCTTGGCTGATCAGTGAAGAGGGTTAGGTTCCCTAGCTATGAATCACAATCCTTAACCTAACAGTTATGAGAGCTAGTTCTCCTAGCTTATATTTGTTGATTTTCCTTCATTGATCGACTAAGGGAGTTTGTCCCTAGCTAGTTGCACCCATCTCGTGGTGTATGAACACGTCCTTCACACTAGAGCTTTGTTTGTCGCTTCTTAGCCTGAGACTAGGAGGAGCAATTCTATTGATTTTCTCCCAATTGGTTAATTTGTTGGACCGTAGGTGCGATGATTTACTTCACGGGCGAGGTCTCTGGTTCAAGTCCAGGATGGCCCAGCTGGGCCAAAGAAAAGAATAGAAGAAGCATATGCCCGGGTGAAGTCCTCTTGAGTTGAATTCTCCTCCATTTACTTTCCTTGTTTGTTTAGTTTGTAGTTTTCTTATTTTTAAGGGTTAATACCCTAATTTGGTCTAAAGTTTGGCGTCAGTGACAATTTTGGCCCGATTTTTCAAATAAGACATTTATGACCTACTTTTCAAATTATTAGACAGATTTGGCCCGAAACGTGCATTGACCGTTCATTTTAACGGTCAACTATTTAATTCGTCAGTGACTCAGCATTCAGTGTTGAGGTGGCAATGGAAAGGCTTCCACGTCATTTTCACATAATTTTATTTATCTTTAAAATTCTAAGAACTGAAAATAAAATATAAAAAAAAACTAATCCCCACCGACAAACCTCCGCCATCCCTGTCCTTCCCCAATCCGCCACTAATCAAACCTCCCCTCTGTCATCCCTCGCCGTCACCAACACATGCAAATCCCACTCAATAATTGCCATTCCAATTCCTCTCGTCTCTCTTTTTCCCCCTCATCATCGAAGTCACAGGGAGATCCAAATGGCCAATTCTCACTCCTTTCAATTCAATTACAAAAATAGCTAGAATTCCCCACAAAACTGTAAAAAAAAAAAAAAAGACAATCGGAGCACAAATTAGCAAGAAGTTCCGGCGAGCCGCGCCACACTCATCTCTGCTCTCTGTCGTCGCCGTTGAAGGAGGAAGGAGATAACAGGGGAAGGGAACCTCCAGTCCCGCATTTCCGTTGAAGCTCGACACTTCCCCATCCGTCGTTGCAATCATCGTCGCCATCAAGATCTGTCGCAACCGCAACCCGATCTTCTTGGATTCGAACCATCAATGACTATTCCTCTCGCTCCTTTGTCCCGGCGAGTCCCATCAGATGCAGAGATACTCCCTTGCGATGGCTGATTGTGAGAGAAGCGAGATTGGGGAAAGTTTTTTGTGTCTCGGTCAGGTAGGAGAGGGATGAAGAGAGATTGGGGAAGCCTGTGTGTCTCGCAGGGTTACGCCATTCTTGTACCCATTGGAAATGGAAGAGTCACGGAGGAGAGGGATGAAGAAGAGGCGGCTAGGGTTACAGAGCCAAATCACTGGGATTAGGTCTTTTTTAATTTTATTTTCAGTTTTTAGAATTTGAAACACAAATAAATTATTTGAAAATGATGTGGAAGCCATGTCATTGCCGGTTTGCCACCCCAACATTGAATGCCGACGGAGTAAATGTTTGACCGTTAAAACTAACGGTCAACATACGTTTCGGGCCAAATCTGTCTAATAATTTAAAAAGTAGGACATAAATGTCTTATTTGTAAAATTGGGCCAAAACTGTCACTTGCATCAAACTTCGGGCCAAACTAGGGTATTAACCCTATTTTTAAACCCAAAACCGTTTTGCTAGATAACAACTTAAACGATTGAAGTAGGGGTACATGGATCGACCCGGGTCGACAATTTAAATACTTGCCCTATATTGCATCCAGCTAGAGTTTAAAAACTTGGGCTCTTGTCGGGATTAATTCGAGGTGTAGTTTCGTGCCAGTCAAGTTTTGGTGTCGTTGTCGGGGAACCGTGGTCCATTATTTTGAAAAGGACGCTCAGGTGTTACTCTAGCATTTTCTATCTTGTCTTTTTGTTTGTTTTATGTATTTCGTGTTGTGTTTTGTTTACCCACTCTTCTCTTAGAAGGTTGGTTTGTGTTTGGATGATTTTGTTTTTTGCGTTTTTGTTTGTGTAGGTTATGAATCATGGATCCCAATGGCTTCTACAATATGTGGGGGTATCCACAACCACCCGAATGGGGGTACCCCGGAGCTTCGTGTAGCGAACAAGAAGGGGAAAGCCAAGGATCCGGGTTCTATTACCAACCCCCCTTCCAAGAACAACAACCATACCATTGGGGATATGAAGAGGCTTCCCCATATCAAGAAGATTTTCCTCCACAAGCCGAGGAGAAATCCAAGTTGGATTTGGCCATGAAAGCCTTCATGGGAAAATCATCAAGACCATGTGCCACTCCACAATCGGAGCCAAAGAGAAACTGGAGCTCATGGTGGAGAAATTTTTCCGGGGTACCGAAGAGGGATGCTCCAATTTGGACCTTCCCATCGCCGGCCCTATCGACTCAACCTTTCTTCGGGAGGCGGAGGAGCTCCGTCGACGCACGAATGGGCAAGGAGAGCTTGTTGAACAAGCATGTGCACAACTTGCTCGCAATCGCCTCCAGCCATTTGAAGAAGAAAAAGAGAAGGTCGAAGAGGCAAGCCATGAGACCCTTGGAAGAATGAGATGCGAC